CCCAACACCAGACTGCACATTTGTTTGCAGCTTTTGTTACTGTTTTCTCAGTCCAAAGCCCCTCCACTGGCTGCCTTCTCTGCCAGGCCACAAGCCCCCACCAAGGGTCACTTTGCTAGACACCCTTTACAATGTGCAGAGCGTTTCTGCAAGCAAGATGCATGCAATTTAGAAGTGTAAAGTGGTTGTTTATTGGTTAACACAGCTAGAGAGGCTACAGGGCTAAACATCATCATGCTATGAGCTTCCTCTGCAAGACACCAGATGACTCTCTGTTGGCGATGGGGCCTCCACTGCTCCCTGCAACGGGTCCTCTCCGTTGCTGCAGCGCTGTCTTCTGAGGCCATGCTGCTTCCCTCTACAACTGCATAACTTTCCACGTTGGTGTCCTCGTCAGTGCCATCTCAGCAGCCCTGCCTTTGACTGTGCTTTTGCCTTTCTTACTTTATCTGGTTCTGCTGCACAGACTTTCTCACAGCCTTTTCTCCTGGTGCAAAAATTCCCTCGGCAATGTGAACATGAGAATGTGAAATATCTACACAGGGCTGGTGGATCTGACTGGACTCAATATATCTTGGTTAATGATACAGTTAGTTTTAGGAATGTTCATATTGACTATAAGCACCTTTCCAGAAGTTTTAAAATAAGAGCCTGCAAGTAGCTACATGTGAGTAGTTCACCAGTGAGTCTGGAGTAGGCTTTTTTGGAATGCATAGGGTGGAAAGACTGCTCAATGGCAATGGATGTAATCCTGGCTGCTTTTCTTGTGCCTACTGTGTCATTGTAAAGCCAGGTGTTCACAGAAGGAAGCTTGGAGAAAAAGGAAAGGGTAATAGAARACTAAAGAAAAGCACCTTAATCCTGGAGCTGAAACCCTGAAGAGGGAGGATCTTGAGATACCGGTTGTGTGGAAGGAGCCAAGGGCTTTGCCTGGCATCTCTCTCTAAACAGTGGTGTGGCAGCAAACTGATTTTAGATGGGCACTGTTCTTAACTACTCTACAATCTGCAGGGTGCAGAACAATTTTTGCTATCATTTGTATCTGCTAAAGATGTACCACATGGATCAGTGAAATCACAAGTCATGAACAGCTGTCATTCAAACAGGAACTTGCACTTTGCAGGCTTATTCTGAGCAAAGTAACCATCTGAAATCATCATAAAAATTGGTAAAAGATACTACACAAATGCAGCCCTGGGGATCCTCATGAAGCATTTGCCTGCTTGGGAAGCTACAGTCAGTCACCTGTTAACTTCTCCCCTCGTTCCCTTTGTACCATTTCTGCAGTAACACCACTAGAAATGGGCTGGCAAAGGCAACAGCTATGTGAGACAGCTGCTTCAGAATGAAGACCGCAATTTGTTCCCCGAGTTCAGTGCACCCAGGGCACTGTGGCTTGGCCATGTGTTACACAGCTCCTCCTGTCACCAGGAGGAGAGGGCACACATGGAGAATCCGCACTTACCTGCTCCGACTTCCCCAAAAGGATTTTCACAGCTAAGACTGCACTATTATACATATATAAAGAACATAAAAATTATTTCTTTTCCAGGTGAGTCGTATCTGTTAGCACTGGTAATATAGGCATTTTATATTCCTAATTAAGGAATTCCTTAATTCCTTTAAGGTTTAATTATGTCACCAGCTCCCCATATCAAAAAGGGAGCATTTCAGATGAAGCACACTGACCAACATTTTGTGAATGCCTGCCAGCAGGCCACAAGTGCTTTGCACAAGGAGCTGCCATATGAGTTAGTGTTACAAGCTTTTGGGACCTCAAACCTTCTTCAGAAGAAATGACTTGTAGTCAACTTTATGAGATCAATGGTACAAAAAGACAATCTGAGAGCCATTATGCTCAGGGAAACCTGAGCGCAGTTTAAACACCTAAATCCAAGGAAGCCCTCAGTAAAAGCCTCGGAGCCGATTTTGGAGCCCAGCGCTCCCCTCAGGGAAGGGGGCCCTTTCCGCTTTGCCTCGCCCTTCTCTGGCCTCAGGAGGCCTCAGTCCAGGCCTCAAAGTGGCCCTAATTCTTACAAGCAGTGCAAGTGCCGGGTGGGCAGGCTGGATATGAAGGCCTTTGAAAAGGGCTTTGACTCCTGTATGTTTTTCTGGGAAAGTCCTTCTAGCCCAGGGCATTTTAGGGGCTCTCATGTGCTTCCCCAGCAGTTTTTCCGTGTACCAAGGAGCTACCTCAAGCAGGGGGRACCTAGGTGGTAAGTTGCAGTTTCCCATGGGTGTCCTGCCTCCAAGAGAGAAGAGAGATTTCAGAGGTAACTTCAACCTCAGTGGCTCCTGACGGAGATTTTGGGAGTCTGTTACCCCAGGTCAATATGTTGAACTTTGTTGTTGAGCTCTTATTCCTTTCTGCTGAAGTCTTCTTTTGGGYGTCCAACATTACTTCAGCAATGACAAAAGTCTTACTGCTAAAAATAAGAGGCTCTGTGTATTGACTTATGTTTGCAATTCTGTAAAACTGAGCAGAAAYACATGATGTTTTTCTCAGGTATATAGAGATATGTGTCTGATACAGCTGCTTACACATCTGAAACCCCTAATTATAACTGTCTACAACATTGATGCCTTGGCCTAAGCTCGCTTTATAGCTAATGGAGAGAAACGGGAATTTCTAAAACACGAATCATATGATCTATATTTAAGAAGATCTATTTCACTAAAATGAACTGTGCCATAAAATGACTTTCCCCCCGTCAGCTGTAAAGGGAGCCCCTGGCGACCAGCTCAGGTATCTATATCCATAGTCACAGTCACAGTCACAGTCATAGTCATAGGCCAGGGGAATCCTGCCCATACATTTACTCAGATCTGGCCTTTATTTCAGTGGGAAGAGCTGCAATTGAAGACTTGCACATTTTATCAGAATTTATGATCCAGACATTAATGTTGTAATATCTTTTGCAATAGAGAGGTTCCTTTGCTCTGAAGCTAGGTAGGGAGATCAGGATTTCTGTTCTCATCTAACAGGCTGAAAAAGCAAAGCCAGTGCACCACAATTGCAGACAAATACTTAGAAACATGAGCAAAATATTCCTGTCTGAAACCAGAAATTAGAAAGAGTAATTTGGTTATTTAAAAATATTAGCAATTTTATCAGACTGAAGTCTTACTTCAATGTAAAACATTACTAAAGCCACACATTTTTTAATATTTAGAATTGTCAAAATTGATTATTCTTGCTGCAAGCAATGCTGCAACCAGTTTGACAAAGTTGAATAAAATCTGCAAGGCCATTTTGAGACATTAAATAAGGAAATCTCTATCATGGCTTTGTTCAGACTGAAACTTTCCGTTTCTGTATGCCTCAGCTGAGCATGTTCAATTTTTGAGCAAGTCAGATCAGATGACAGGATACACAAGCTGCACGAAGTGCTGCCAACATGTGGGATTTGACTGCAATTCTGCTACTATATTTGGCATTTTGCTTAAAAAAAAAAAGCACAAGTTGCTAGAACAAAATGGCCTCTGCGTAGAAAGAAATCTAAACAAAAGACAAACGAAAACACCAATCCAAGAGGATTAGAGCCTTTCTGATCACATGAAGGAAGAGGAGGGCGGCTGGCTTTTCACCCTGGCAGCACTGGCTGTGGCTCCTGCTGCAGGAGCTGGGTCCAGCCTGCCACAAGCAGCTGGTGACAAGCGGCGCTGTGGGGTTAAGCCCCAGATTCCCAACGCCACGCTGAGGTGCGGGATTGCCTCCCACGACCCGGTCATCTGCCAGCAAGCCTCTCCTGCAGCCCTGACCTCCTAGCTAAATAAGCGTGATGGGAAATAAAACCAGTGTCAGCAGCTCTGCACTGTGTTTCATATAGTGAAATGTGACACAGCAACCACGCAGGCCCTGCTGCTGCTTAAATAAATGGAAAAAAAAAAAACCCTTCTACATCTTATCTGAGAATTTCTGCTATTAAGTCTATTTAGCTTATTCCTGTCATATTTAGCTTTCACGTAGTTACAGTGACTGCGTATTTTTTTTTTAGCTAAAACATGAACCTTCATATTAATGACAAGTGCTTCCTTGTTGTTAACTATATGAAATTATAAGGGATGACAGGTTCATAAGCCCCGAAGAGAAAGTTCAACACACAAAACCATAACCAGTATCACCACCACAAACACCACTCTTCTTGAATCAGGCCTTTATTCACAGTATTGGATCATTTATTTAAAATATTTTCTATCAAAGTAGACTCAATCAACTCTTAAGGTGGAATGAAGTGGCTTTATTTATTATTTATTATTTATTGTTTTATTTATTTACTGTTGTGAGGCCTCAACTTTTGTTTACAGCTGTTTTCATTCCTGTTAGGCCCAAAAATGAAACAGAAGAGAACTGTGAATAGAAACAGGAAGAAAAAACAGTACTACACTGATGACTGGGGGAAGAGGCTACAGAAGTGAGCCAAAACTAACAGGAATTTCTGAGTTTGAAGCTGCAGGCTTACGCATCTGCAGCCAGGAATATCGCACACGTTTCCCGCTTGCAGTGAGTTAACGGGAAGAGCTGGAAATTTTACTCTGCCCCTTCAATCTGTACGGATTTAGCTGCAAACTGCCGAAGGCACCAACTAGGGGCAGCCAAAACCTCCTCCAGCAAAAGCGAGGGGCAAAGGGGAGCTCTCCCTAAGCCCAGCTCCCTCCCAAACCCACGTATTAACGGCTGCTGGATGGCACCGGCCCTTGTTTCCTACGTGGTGYGGGAACAAAGAAAGGGGGCTCTGCCAATTCCCGCGGGATCGGGGGCTCCCGGGCGCTCCGGSAGCCCCGGGCTGCGGCGCGGCCTACGGCTCCTCCCGGCACGGCGCGGGGCGGTCCGGCAGGTGCCTCCCTCCCTCCTTCCTTCCTTCCCTCGCTCCCTGGCTCCTGCCACGTCAGGGGAGTTTCCCGGCGCGGGGCGGGTCTCGGCCCTTCCTCCTCCTCCTCCTCCTTCTCGGCCGCCGCCTCCTCCCGCTGCCGGGCGCGGCCGCCGGCGCCGCAGACGTTGCGGAGGGGAACGCCCGCCCGCCGCCATGGAGGCCCGCTACAACCTCAAGAGCCCGGGTAGGTGGCGCCGCGCCGGGGAGCGGCCTCGGTCCGGGCCCCGGCCCCGGTCCCGGCCCCGGTCCCGGTCCGGCCGCG